AACGCTCAGGGGCCCTGCTCCTCGGGGAGGGGTTGGCCAGCTTCGACCCGTTTGGGCTGCGGAGGTGCCAGCTGCAAGCTCTCCTATCTGTGGTGTTTGTTTTGTTTTGTTTTGTTTTGTTTGTTTCTAAATATAAGTGCCCCAGAGGAAAGGAGGGACCAGAGGCGGGTCTCCTCGGGAAGGGAGCTGAATTCAGCCATCCTTACGCCCTGGAAGATCCACTTCTTTTTTCAGGTTTCCGAGCTGGGGGCTTTTCTGATCACCCATGAAGAAGGGTCGTGAGGAATGACATGAATCCCTATCTTCTTTTCCTTGGAATATCCCCCGATGTCAATCCTGGGCACGCATCCGCTGGTAATGCCTCCTGCGCTGCAGCTGCATGGCCAGTGCATGGGCAAGTACTGCCGTCCTGCCCTACAGGAGCTAATAAACTCTGTAGCATGGGAACCACCTTTTTGCCTTTTTCAGTACCTCAGCCGAGGCATGCTTTAAATCGTGATTAAAGTAACGACAGAAAATGTTGTCCTTCGTGGTGAGTGGCCAGCAGCAGGCATGGGAGCTGTTAAAGTTGCCCGTGTTTGGTGCTGAAGGAGCACCCGTGTGTGCTTCCTCCTTTGCCAGCCGGCTTCTGCCGCGCCCTGGCTCCACGGGCTGCCTTTCCCCTTGTCCTTCCCATTTCCTGCTTCCCCTGCTCGGCTGGGAAGGGAGCAGTGAAAGGAGAAGCAGGACGAGCCCATTCAGCACAAGAGCAGCTGTATGAGGGTGGTTAGACGTCCACGTAGGCCTGCAATCTTTAGCAAAGGCCACCAGCTGATGCCTGGAAGAAAGCGAAAAAGCCTGTCGAGTTACCCCCCAAGATCACCACCTTTCCAGTGTCCATTAACTTGATGTCCTGAACCAGAGGAAATGCCCTAATTTTATTAGGATTCCTTATTGTTCGCTTTCTGGATTCATTTCATGGTTTTATAGGCATTTATACCCCTTTCATTGTCTCTTCACCGTGTGAAGCATTTGGGCCTATTTTAGCCATCTTTGTGCATAAGTTATTCTGTAGCTTGAGCTATCCTTATTCTCCTTCACTATGTAGTAGAATCATTTCATTTCACCATGCAGATTTTGTGCAGGGTGTGAGCACCTCAAAGGTGAGCACCTCAAAAGCACAGTACAGCTTTTTGATTTATGTTCTACCGCTTTCTTAATAACCCCTACCATGTGGTTTTATTGATTGCTTCTGAGCCTGGTGCTCGTGTTTTCATAGAATTATCCCATCATTATTCCTAGATCTCATTCCTGACTGGTAGTAATTCAGAAGCTGTCACTGTTTGTGTGAAAATAGGATAGTTTCTGCCTTTTTGTGTTGCTCTTCACCGAATTTGAGCTACCGTTTTATCATTCGCTGTATCTCAGGGTCTTTCAGCAGTTCTTCATGATTCACCCCAAAAAAACACATTTAATTAATTTCCTGAATAACGCAGTGCTCTCAGCAAACTTTTTCACTTTGTTATTAGTCCTCTTTTCCTGACCATTTAGGAATATGTTGAATAGCACAGGCCTGAAGACACCTGCACTGCGCGACTTCCCTCAACTGTGAAAATCTTCTGGAATCTTAAGTCAACAGACTTGACTTTTGACATACTCAAATTACAACTCGACTCTCCCTTGCCTACATACTTGTTGACACCCTTGAATAATTTCGAGGTGTGTCAGAGGTACGCATGGTATACACGTGGTACACATTGTCTTTACACAGGCCTTGCTGGATTTTCCTCATTTTTTTTCTGTTTATGACTCCTTCCATTCCTTAGTATAGTTTTTATATATTTGGCTTCCCAGTCTGTAGGTATCTGAATCTCTCCTAAGATCCAGGTGACACACTTGCTACTTTTAAGTTTTCTATTACCAAAGGAATTTTAAGTGCGGGATCACACACCGCAGATAATGATTCTGCTATTTCCCCCCGGAGCTGTTCAAAGCACAGCTGAAAGTGTCCTGGTATTGATAAGCTGTCAAATGGCAAACCGTTGGATAACTGGTTATACTGCCACTTCAATGGGAGATACCTTGACTGAATACTCAGATCTTCATATTTATAAAAGGCATGGAAAGCAGTATGGTGCTAAACAACTCCCACTTGCTCCACTAGGCCCCCATTTACTTTTTCTGCCCTGTGCCCTAAACCCATCTATGTAAGTCATTCCCATCTTCTCATGTGTTAAACAGTTGCCCCAGCATCACTGTGCTGTCAAGGCTGCTGCTTCAGCTACACCTCTTGCATATCTTTTTCCCCCTTGCGCCTGAAAAGCAACACCCATTTGGCAGAAATGAGGCATTTTCTTCATCCTAAATTTTGTAGGATTGACTATGCCAATATAGAGAGCAACATTATAAAGACAGAGGGAGAAGTACGAAGAAGAGCAGAATGAGGTATGCGGGGTGTTGTTTGTAGGTGGATTTATGCTAATTGCAATTTATCCTGCTCTGTTGTCTATTTTTGTCTACTCTGCTACTATCTTTCACCAGGAAGTTCACATTGCTGTTCCTGCTTTGCAGCTATATTGAATTTTTCAAGGTTCTGGAGCAGAGCTATCACTTCACAAGATCAAAAGTTAAACTGGAAGAACAGTCAGTGATTGATGCAGTGACAAGATTTACAGAGCTGCCTTTGACCATTAAATACCTTCCCATCCCCAAACACATACCCAAAGTAAATCATAGCTTATTCCTTCTCACACAAGTTTCTTGTAGCTAGTTTGGTGACATGTTCCTCAGGAAGAAAAAAAGTACCTCTTTGATTTGATACAACTTCCCCAGCTATGAATTATATATAAGCAAAAATTGTATTTTCTCCTTCTTTAGAAGAATTTTCTGCTAATGGAAAGGTAGCTTTTCATTTAGAAAATCAAATATCTCCAATGTAAGAAAGGGTTACCTGAGACCTCAGGGCACATAAAGCAACTGGCTCCTCTTCAGCTCCCAAATACACTAATTAAAGGTAAGGCTAGAGCTCTGTTTTGTTAAATGTCATTGTAACCTAATAGCATGTGAACTATTCCACCTACAATTTATGGCTGCTTTGTGCACTGGACCTGTTAATAAGCTCCCTTTAAAGCAGTTCCTATGATGTCCGAACACCTGCAGGGTTTTAGAGCACATGGATATATGACAGTCGTGGGGCTTTAGATACAGCAGTACCAGTGAGTTGCCTTTATGAACATGTGATGTGTTGTGCCGTGGAAAATTTAGACTTTGGGGATTTAGGGATCATTCAATTCTTTTTTTTTTTTTAGTAAAAAATGATGTCCTTCGACTGTGTCAATTTGGATTGCAATATCATTTTGTAATCTGGCATGTCTAGACCTTCAGAGTTTAGTAACCTAATGATTTCCCAATGGATTTGTGGTTCATTTCCTTTAAAACATCCATTCTTGGATGTTGGATCCATAGACTGTAGTGCCCTACATCGCTTCCCACCCCATCTACATGTTTTAGCCCTTCTAGCCAGCGTGGTGGAGCTCCTGCCTTGGAGCTGCTTGCAATGGAAACGGATGCCATGCTGAGCCTCCCCTGCAGTATGGTGGCATTTTTACTTAGGTAAGGAAAATGGAAAGAAGGTGAATCCTGGATGTAGTTGTGAGCTTGAATGTGCTGTGATGAAATGTTACCTTCTGATTGCCATAACTTTATTGTTGGCCATCAAGGAATTAGCTTGGTGAGATACCAACAGCATTTCCTTGAAGATGTTTTTGATTGATTGCCTCTCAACCTACACTTAAACACACATTCAGAATATCCCTCACACTATCTATGAGACTCAAAATAGAAATATCTAGGAACAGGGCTAGTTGTTTCCTCTGTGGTGGCTTCGCAATATGGTTACTTTTTGCATACTTGGCTAAACTTAATTTGTCTGCAGCTTGTCCATTCCATGGGAAATATATTTGCTGGTGTTGGCTGTATAGTATTTCTGTATATTATACTATCTATCTTCTTCATTTATTACATGTAATTCTGACATGTAGACTGACATATGTGAACACCCTAACTGACGTCAAGCTTACAGTTTTTAAAGGTTTCATGGGGACACGCTAAACTAAAAATGAGCCAAGCAGCAAAAGTCCCACAGCTTGAAAGCAAGAAGCTGAAAACCTCAGCTCTGGTGCAGTACCTGAAAAACACCAGACTGTGGGGCTGTTGGCTGTCCCAAAGATATTTCAACCTCTCCAGAAAGTAGGATAATCCCCTTTTTCTATAGTTGCCCCAGCACTGAGCTCATTATGGAAGCTAACTGTAAAGCCTGGATGTGACTTAGGACACCCATTTTTTTTTATCAAACTATCAGACTAATAGTATATGTGAGAATTTTTATTGCTTACAGTTCTCACTATTCCTTGAATACAAGTGGCCTTGCTCCTCAAAATCAAAATATTTTTAGCTTGAAATTCACCGAACAGTTAGTGCTACTGTTATTTGTCTACTTGTCTATTCTGGTGCGGTTTAGTTACATGGTGCAGATATAAATGTGTGGTGCAAGCCAGAGGCTTTTATTCTTCTCGGCTTTATACACTCAAAAAGTTGTTTTTCAGACACTGGCTTCTTCCATGCTACAGAAACCACCAGTTCCCAAGGACATCCTGTCTAGAATATTCTTCCCTCTGTGCATCAGGGCTGCCTGTCTTGTTTTCCTTACCTTATTCCTGCAAGGACTGTCATACACTCCTTTCCTAGGCCTAATCCCAAATTCTTTGGAGTTAATGTGGAAAGGAATCTTTCCCTCCCCTTTGAGGGGCTTTGGCTGCAGTTCTCATTCCTGATGGCTCTTT